GTTGTTATACAGTAAGGCGAAAATGGGGTGCTGCATATTTTAATGGAGTAATTCTTTTAATTCTAATCTTTTTAAGAGTTGTAATTTGAAATTCCTTCATATCATAGTGTTCAATTCCCAAAAAAAAATTTATTATAAATTTGTTTTGGAAGAATCTATATTTTGATGATTGTGCTATTGTAATAAAATACAAATAAATATGTTTAATTTTATATATTGTATATTGGGGTTAAAAGTTATTAACTACTAATTGTAAACATAGGACAACTATTATTTCTAGAAAGGTAGGGTCTTAAATTTGTATATATTGCGTCTCCAAACATCTTTTTGTAATTTAATACATATAAATATGAAAAAAATTATTAGGTAGTTATTAGTGCTGTCAAATATGTACCACGGAGAACCAACCAATATGTTACCAACCGAACTAAGAAAGTTGGTTACCAATATATTTGGTAGCCAACATGTTTGGTTGGTAGTACCGTACCAATTCAGTAAACTTGGCACGGTAACGGTATTAAATTTTAAATACCATGGTATTACCGTACCAACCAATTCATATATATATATATATATATATATATATATATATATATATATATATATATATATATATATATATATATATATATATAAACGAAATCGTATTTTTAAATGTCAATTGTTTAATGCTTACGATTTTTAAAATTATGATATTAGACATTAGATTTAGTCAATAGTTATTACCAGATTAGATTAAGAAACTGAAAAGTCCCTTATTAAATTTTTTAGTAACTAGAATAGTTAATTTACTAATTTATATTATTCGACGAGAAAAGTATCTCGTATCGTTAGTAGTCTTTAACTATCACAATTGAAATTTTGAACAAAGTTGGTAATATATCATTACTAAATTGTACCAACCAAACTTGTTGGTAGCCAAACAAGTCGGTACCAAGTATAGTTGGTACGGTACTGGTAGCAAAAAATTTATACTAACTGTAGTTGGTACGGTACATGGTTTAAGTAAAAATCAACTGGTACTGTACCATGTTCAGCCCGAGTAGTTATCACTTAAATATATAACTTTTTTTATATATATTTGATTAATATGTTTGTAGAGCAAAAATAACATACACTCTCATATAAATAAATACATACAAAATAATAGATGCACATAAATAAGTTTTTAATAACTGTGTTGTAGGTTTTTGGTATAATATTTGATCTAAACATCACATGATTACATTATTAATTAAATTTATTAAACATAATAGAAATATTTTAGTACTGTTTATTTAATTTTCATAAGTATCAATTAACCGCTTTTAACTTTTGTGGTTTAATTCTAAATAAGATTTAATTGGAAAATTGAAATATTAAAATATATAGAACTTGAATGAATTTAATTAAGTTCATGACATCAATGTGGTTTAAAATAATATTTAATTATTGAATAAAAAGGTATGAAGATTTTTTGGACGTTATTATTATTTTTTGACACATTCATGACTATTATTTTAATGACATAATTCTTTTAATTTTTATTTTTTAAGAGTTATATTTTAATATTACAAAATGGTTTTTTAAAAAAAATATTTTTTTTCAATGATTGTGCTATTATAATTTAATGCACATAAATATGATTAAATTCATTGATTGTATTATAAATTTGACATATTTTACAAATTATCGTGATTTGATTTTTTATTTTAAAATTATTTGATTTCATTTTAATAGACTTAAAAATGTTGTTTATATATTTTTATATATAATATTGAATTTTATTTTGTGTATATAGTATATTAGATTAATTAATCAATATATAATAAAATTTAATTAAAAAGAATAAAATGATATTGTTATGGGAGGGATTATATCTAATGTTATATATATATATATATATATATATATATATATATATATATATATATATATATATATATATATATATATATATATATTAACATTAGATATAATCCCTCCCATAACAATATCATTTTATTCTTTTTAATTAAATTTTATTATATATTGATTAATTAATCTAATATACTATATACACAAAATAAAATTCAATATTATATATAAAAATATATAATATATGGAAGGGATTATATCTAATACTTTTTATATATATATATATATATATATATATATATATATATATATATATATATATATATATATATATATATATATATATATATATGGCTTGACAAACAAAACTTCCATCAGTTAGCTTTTTAACTTGGAATCCCAAAAAAGAAAGCTAGTTCACCCATCATGCTCATTGCTAACTTCTTAGCTAGGATCTCAACGAATTCTGAACTTAGCTTTTCATTTGTGGATCTGAAAATGATATCATCAGCGTACACTTGAGTGAGATTGATATGAGGTCCTGAACGCTTGATGAATAAGGTTTTGTCAATCTTTCCTCATCTGTATCCACTTGCAAGAAGATGGCTCGCCGATGTGTCATACCATGCTCTAGGCACATGCCTTAATCCATAGACAGGTCTATCAAGACGATACACATGAGTTGGAAACTCTTCACTTTCAAACCCTTGTGGTTGTTTTAGAAAAACTTCATTATGAAGATCTTTATGTAAGAAGGCAGTCTTAATGTCCATTTGATAGACTTTGAAGTTCTTATAAGAAGAAAAGGCATGAAACCTGAGAATTGCTTCAACTCTAGCAACAGGAGCAAATGTTTCACCATAGTCTAACTCTTCCAGCTGACAGAAACGTTGAGCTACAAGTCTAGTTTTGTTTCTTATAACAATGCCATCTTCATCCATTTTGTTCCTGAAAACCCAACGAGTGCCAATGATAGTCTTTCCTTAAGGCTTGGGAACAAGATTCCATACACGATGACGTTCAAGTTCATTCAGCTCATCCTACATAGCCTTAATCTAGTTACCTTCTTTTAAGGCTTCAATGAATTCTTTGGTTCAATCATTTAGATGAATTTCACAAACATGCAAAAGTTATTGTTGACTCTGCTATGAGTGAGAATCCCAAAATTTACATCTCTAATGATTTGAAATTCAGGATGATTTCGAAGAATTCTTGGATTAGAAATTTCATTTGTATTACTTTGAGAAAAGTCTTCCTGATTATATGGTTCAACTTCTTCAAGGATGATAGACTCTAATATTCATAGATAGGTTGTGAATCAATGAATTAATCAACATTGGGAACAACAGGCACATCGTGATTTGGCAAGAAATTAGGAACATGGTCTGAAGAATTGTTGGTAAGTTCATTTAGTGATGATGAGGTGTGATCAAATCGATCATGAATGAATGAGTCTTCATTGAAGATGACATGAGTTGTTTCCTCAATAGTTTTCCTTGAAAGATTGAATACCCCGAAAGCCTTGGATACACTAGAATAACCTAGAAACACTCTTTCATTAGCTTTAGCTTCAAACTTCGAGTGCTGATCTCTTTGATTTAAGATGTAAAAAACACATTCAAATGCATGAAAATAAAAGATGTATGGTTTCCTTCCCTATAGTAACTCATAAGAAATTTTCCCATGACGCTTAACAATGATGGACCGATTTTGGGTATAACACATTGTATTGACAACTCCAGCCCAAAATGAAAAATGAAGACCAGCTTCAATGACCATAGTTCTTCAAGCTTCAATGATAGTTCTATTTCTTCTCTTTGCAATACCATTTTGTTGGGGAGTTCTAACAGCAGAGTAGTTCTGAGAAATTCCTGAGATTGAACAGAACTTTTCTAGGGAGGAGTTTCTAAATCAGTTCCATGATCACTATGTAACTGTCTGACTTGGTGATCATAGAGAACTTCCCATTGCTTGATGGGATAACTGGTTTCATCAGCAGCATGATTCTTCTTTCTTGAAAACACTACCCACGTAGACCTTAAAAATTCATCCACAATGACGATAGTGTATTTCTTCCTAGCTCTTGACTAAACCGAAACTGGTCCAAAAAGATCCATGTGAAGAAGATGAAGAGGATTAATAATGGAAGAGTAGGACTTTGGTTTAAAGGAGGAATTAGTTTTCTTTCCTTTTTTTCACACACTAAGCACACTTTATCCTTGAAAAACTACATCTTAGGAATTCCTTTTACAAGTTGATCCCTGAGATCTTTAATATGTTCTTGAAATGCAAATGCAATAGCCTCTTATTCCACAACTAATTTAGATGAGATTGAGCACGATAGAAAAAGCAAAAATGAAGAGAGTTGTCAGCAAAAAACATATCCAAAACATAAATGTCATTTTTTCGGTTTGTATTTAGAATAGTGACATTATTTTGATCAACAACCATTCTTTATCTCTTTTTGAAGAGGACTTCATAGCCAGCATCACACAATTGGCTGATTGAAATGAGATTATGATGAAGTCATTTCACATAAGAGACATTCTTGAAAACAAAATAATTGCATTTGATGGATCCATATCCCTTTCTAGCTCTCTTGCCATTATATGTAGCAGTCGGACCATCTTTCTTTATGAAATCTTCTAGGAGAGACATCAATTTTTTCATGTCTTGAGCAACAATTATCTAAATACCAAATATAATCTTTATCCTAAAACTAAAATATACAATAATCGCTAAAACAAAAAACAAAACAAAAAATACACATACAATATACACCGACTCATTTTGCAATGGGTCACTCAAGAAAAGATATTATAGCAATCATATAGCCGAGATTAAAACTCTAAAGATCGAATAGATTCAAACAGGGAAAAAGCAATCAAACACACAATAGGAATCAAGAATGTGGCGAATGATTAAAAGTCACAGTCTCATAAGAGCTTGATAAAGAACTGCTATTGTGGAGGCTATGTAGGATATACAATGGCACGATTAACTAATACACGATGCATGCATGCATCTTAAATAGTAAAACCCTAAAATTAAATGATGGGTGGATAGGCCCAACCCAGATAAAAATAGACTATATAAAAAGCCCATAAAGACGCAACACTAAATACCCAACAATCTCCCTTTTGCGTCGATTGGGAGGGAGTCCTTCACTGATGAGTTCGCTTATGCACTTCATAGACTTTCAGAATTACGCTTAGCAGAACCTTGTCGCTTTTGTTGTTCCCTTTGTACTTGCTTACGAAGTCCAAGATGTACTCTAGGCACAAAGTGGTGAAAAGATGTTTGTCAAACTTTGTGAAAGTCTGCATCCGTTCTCTCCTTCATTTGAAAGGGCATGCACCATCTGTCCTTTCGTATCTTCCGTAGTTTGATTATCTCATAACATTAAGGGGATTCTTTAGGGATTACCGTTGGCTTCTTTCGTAATACAGCTGCTATCTCGATGTCCATATTCCCAACCTTTTGGATGTATGAATCTAGTATTATTTTGAGGTGAGAAACAACATGCTAGTACTTCTATTCATCCCTTAGCATCATGTTGTACAACATGATCCAATCAGTGGGTTCAGGCATGGAAGATCAGCAAGAGTAAACTCATGCACCTGATTCGTTGAACCTCTAGCAACCTTAAATTTTGCATTTGGGAAGTTATCAGTTTTGATCGGACCTACAACATTCACAACAGTGATCTTGTTCGCACTCCAGGTTTTGTACTGCAGCATCATGTGCTTTAGGTAGAACGAAAAGAGTAAGTGATCTGCATCGTTGTCTGTTGAAGGTACATTCGCAACTTTGGCAAAACTGCGAAACCTGATGGCTTTCGGTGTGATTGGAAGATCCAGTTGTGAATCTTGTGTATTTTGAAGATCAAAAGACACAACTGGTTCCAACCAATATTGACTTTGCATATCCACAACTTCATTCAAGATTCGCTCCAAAGTCCATACTGGAAACAAAAGTTTTCCGCTTTCCAGCACGACTTGAGCTTCGCGTTCAATCTTTTCTTTTTCTTCCGCCTCACGAACAATTCTTTGGTGCTCATCTATTTGAGCTTCATGATCTTTTCTTCTTTTGAGTTCATGTTCGTTGGGATCTTCTTCTTCACTGTCATCTATTATTGGTTCTTTGTTAAGCATTTCCTTTCCTTTTGAAGCCGAAGCTAAATTATAGTTTGGTTTGTTTTCTTTCTTAGGCTTAACAGAAAGCTTAACTGTAGGTTTAGGGTTTTCCTTCTTGGATTGTTTCACACCTTCTCCCTTTTTTTTTCGGAATTGAGCTTGATTCCGGAACACCTTTCATTCTGTTGAGCATAGTGAACACTGGCCTTAAATTTTTAGAAAGATGCTTCTTGACTGTGATCGTTATCATCGAGTCATGAGTCTCAATGATGTCTGAAATCAGTGCATTCACATTTGTTATGCAACTTTTCATTACGGACTTTTCAGACAACTAATCGTTGATTTGTTTCTCAGCATTCTCCAGATTGACAGTTTAGACTTTCACCTTTTCAGTCTTCGCTGTGAGAGCATCCATATTCTTACTCTCAATAGCCAAGTCATCTGGAAGCTTGGATATCTTCGATGAAATGGAGTAGTTTAGCTCAACATTTTCATTTTGGAGGCCAATACGAACCTCTTTGAGTTTCACCTTCTTCGTTCTAAGTGTAGATCCAAGGCTAGAAATAACTTCGTTAACCTTCACAATGCTGGATTCGAATAAGCTCTGAAATTTTCTCATGAAGGAACGAGAATCTGTAATTAGTTTATTGACTTTTCGGTCGTCTCCTGGCACACTAAAGCTGAAGCATCCACAACTTTGTTTGTCTTCTCCAGATTAGCAGAGTGTTCTTTTATGAGGGTCTTGAGAAAGGACTTGATCATTGCTTGAGAATAGTCTTAACTGGATGATGCTTTATATGATTGGAGCAACAAATCTAGTTTCTTGTTGATTTCCTTGAGTTTCCCTTTTGTGACGGGAGCTTCATAGCACCTGCCCCCGCATCAGATGTGTTGACAATTACTGGAGGTTCAACAGTTAAGGTAGCATTGGTGGCTGTGGATTCAATGAAGAGTGGGGTTTGGGTGGTTTGGGTTTGTGAAACTCCCACTGATACTTGCGAGCATGGAGGAATATTGATTGGGGTGGAGAAAGTGGATGTGGGTGAAGGAATAGAAAATTCTTGGAATGAATCTTCATTTTGTGGAACAGAAGTTGGGATTTCAAATGTTACCTCGGGATTCATAGTTGTAGGATCCGAAACCTTTGGATAAGATGAAGCATCATATTTGTTGTGAACCCTATTCTGAATAGGAACTTCCGAGACTGTTTGTGAGCGTGAGTCCTCATGGTTGTTGGGAGTTGGAGATCGTGGTCTACATGCCACTTTCTTGACCCTCTTACTTTTAGGAGCTTTTGGAGTTTTAGATGGTCATGCATCGGTTTTTCATTTAACTCCCTGCTTTGGAGATTGAGCAGGTTCAAACGGATTGAATTATCTGCTAGGATGATGTTGGTGGTGTGAAAGATCTGGATCACTACCATACAAGAGCCTTCCATGACTGGAATGTTGAGTTTGCTAATTTCCCGTTGAACTACGATGGTCTAGAAGCGAGCACATGAGATTACACTGTGTCGTGTTGTAGAGAGGGTACTTTGGACCAATTGAACCCAAAGCACATAGTTGTAATCCAAGTTAATGCCAAAGTAGATGTCGTACATCATGGTCATAAGTAATGTTCTCACACAGTTCAAGCTGGTAACCCTCTTCAAAAAGCTCTTGAACAGAAGGGTGAAGAGGTCGTTCCACATCGACGGCAAGTTGGGTTTCTTGAACTTTGAAACAGCAGCTAATGTTTCCTTGTAGCCCATCTTGTAGAACATCTCCAAAATTTCTGAGTTGGAGACGCTATCAAGATCAATTAGGTCATGACCCTGTGGAAGCCCTAGGAAGTTACAGAACCTTGATTTTGTGATATAGGTCTTTTGGTTGAAGATCTCGAATGAGATCAGTTCTTTTCCCTTTTGATAACTGACGGTGGAGTAGGCTTTTGAGAGATGCACTAGGAGAATAATTTCTGATTTGGTAAGCATGAAAATGAGTGGAGAGTACCTTAGGCATTCAACGATTGGTAAGAGAAACTCGTTGTGCTTTGCAGTGTCAAGGTCAAGAATCAAGTTTTGATTTGCCTTTAGGTTGAGGATTGAGGACTAGGCCGTGGTTTCTGCAACTGATGGAGTCTCTGAAGAAGTTTCCATTGAAGCTTTTATGAAGGAGACGATGAACAGTAGAGAGTATAATCATTGAAGGATTTTGTTTGCCTTTTTGAAAGTGATAATTATTTAATGAACCATCAAAATCCTTTTATACGATATAGTAGGTGAGAGAAATCTGTCGAATTGTTGCATCGGTTACTGAAATGTTGCCTAAAAAGGATGACTAACAACTGTGACATGTGTTAGGCGGCGTCAAATCAGTGTCGTTTCAAATTCTCGCGCCTGATCTTATCCTTTAAAATGTCATTTCAGTTACACGCTTTTGCAGTTGATTCGGTTATAAACTTTCACAATGAATAGCCATCAACAAGTCTGCGAAACTAAAAGTAAAATGAGTACCACGAACCAGACTTTGGAAAATCACAAGGATCTTCATGTGAGAGTGTGCCAAATATAAAGAAATAAATCAATATTATTCTAAGGGATTCTAGTGATGTCTATTTAGACATGAAGGAGATGGATCCCGGGCAATGATCTCTTCCTTCGAAGTTAAGAGAGACACTAAAGTGTCTATGTGGTTTCCCGTTGAATTACGATCAACTGATTATTAAAAAACCGTGAAACGCATCTTTTCATTAGACTTTAAAGGTGGCTTTATCTTCAACCAAACTACGAAACTTGATATAAGTCCGAACGGTCAGATGAAGTACTTTTTTGACCAATGTAGCATAAAAACAAGTATGCTTTGGAATCATTTGGAGTGACTAGGATAATTATAGAAATCTCAAAATAATAATAATAATAATAATAATAATAATAATAATAATAATAATAATAATAATAATAAATAAAAACACTAGATCTACTGTGAAGAAACGTCTTAGGTCTAGAACATCTCATCAAGATCTCGCAAACATAAAATGAGATTTCAAGGTACAAACCACGAAAATGGAGTTTCGTTAATTTCTTGGTGAAAAATCTAGAACATTTAATTGTTGCTGTCAATTCAAAAGTGTGTGTGTTGGATTTTCAGTTTCACTTAATTTCGTGGTGATAATGAATTTTAAGATCATAAACACAGATGTTGTGTGACCATAAACCTCAGTGGTAAATTCTGAGAGTCTCAAGGGTTACATTTGTGAATGTCAAAGTGATGGAGAAATGGTATGAGGTGGCTTCAAAAAAATAATATAGCTCTGCTATGCGAAAGTGACTAAGTAGTTAACTCTTAACTCAATGTGAAAAGAGTCTGGTAGCTCTTGACTCATGTGAATGAACAACCTTATTGGGAAGAAACGATTGGTGTTATCGATTCATTAAGGCTTCTACATAGAAAGTCTTTGAGGTCTTGGACGACATGCAACAACATGCTTCTAGGGACACTTAACTAGTGTAAAGTTTCAAAATTTATACCTGTCCCATCATTCTGCATCGAGAGTGTTTATAAATTTGTATCTTTAGTCCTGCTCAATTATCTAATATTTTTGGTATTTTTGTTTATTTTACGAAATGAAATAAATGATGAAAATAAAGAAAATATTTTTGTATTTTTGTTTTTCTAAAAAGAAATAAAAATAGAAAGAAATAAAATATTTTTGGATTTTGGATTTTCTAAAAAAGAACTAAAAAATAGAAAGAAATAAAATATTTTTGGATTTTCGATTTTCTAAAAAAGAAATAAAAACAGAAAGAAATAAAATATTTTTGGATTTTGATTTTCTGAAAAAGAAATTAAAAACGGAAATAAATAAAAAGAAATAAAGAAAGTGTACAAAGGATACATAAGGTTCTTTACCATGAATGAATAGTTGACCACGAGTCACTACGAACATTCACACCGATGTGCAATGTGAACAAATGATTACGAGTTACTGCGAGCGTTTGCACTAATTCACAACATAAACATGTGACTGCGAGTCACTGCGAGCGTTCACACCAATTCGCAGGTCTATCAAATACTTATAATTGCGAAGGTGGTTTAAGAACATATTCAGCCTCTATCATTCCTAAGCCTTGAAGAATGCGATTGAAGCTTAGGCAAGGATTTCGTGAAGATGTCGGCTAACTGATCAGCAAATCTTACAAAGTGTATCTCGACATTACCATCTTCAACATGATATTTGATAAAAATGATACATCAATGCTATGTGTTTCATATTTGAGTCTTGCACCGGGTTGTGACATATGCGAATGGCGCTTTCAAATTCGCAATACATGGTGATACACTTCGTGCTGATGCCATAGTCACGAAGCTAACTCTAAATCCATATTACTTATGAAGTACAAGAGGCAGTGGCGATGTACTCTGCTTCAGTAGTTGATATAGAGAGGCAAGTTTGCTTTTTTAGATTGCCAACTTATGAGTTTTCCATCAAGAAATTGACATCCTCCCATTGTACTCTTTCGTTCTAGACCGCAACATCCAAGATCAGCATCCAAAAACGCTTGCACAAAGAAACCTAAACTCGAAGGGTACCATATTCCCAATGAGGATTCTCTTGAAACCGAGCACAATAGCAAATAGAAAACATAATATCCGGACGACTAGCAGTCAGATACATCAATGATCCTATCATTTGACGATAGAGATTCATATCAGCAGTTGTCTTGTCCATATATGGTGTTAGTATTGTTCTGGATGCTATTGGAACCTTCACCTTCGAATCTCCTACCATTCCAAAATTAGAGAGTAAGGTTTTTGTATAAGCCTCCTGATTCATGAAGATACCTTCTTGACTCTGTCTTATATTGAAGCCAAGGAAAAATTTAATTGGACCCATGGGGTTCATCTCAAACTTAGTTTCCATCAACTTTCGGAACTCAATTGTTAAGTTGGGGTTCGTTGATTCGAAAATGATGTCATCAACGTAAATTTCGACGATCATTAAGTGGTCACCATATATCTTGCGAAAGAAGGTTGGGTCGACTAATCCTTTTTTAAATTTAGCCTATTTTAAAAAACGAGTTAGACTTCCGTACCAGGCTCTTGGAGCTTGCTTTAGACCGTAAACTGCCTTGTCCAGAATATAACAGTGGTTCGGATACTTTTCATTTATGCACCCTGGTGGTTGTTCCACATACACCGTTTCTTCTATTTCCCCATTTAGAAATGCACACTTGACATCCATCTGATAAACTTCAAAGTTCTTGTTTGCTGCATATGCCAGAAAGATGCGAACAGATTCCACCCTTGCAACGGGTGCGAAGGTTTCTTCAAAGTCAATGCCTTTTTCCTAATAGTATCCCTTAACAATGAGTTTCGCCTTGTTCCTTATCATATTTCCTTCTTTATCCAGCTTGTTGTGAAATACCCATTTTAGACGAACAACGGATGCATCCTTTGGAGTGGGAATAAGTATCCAGACCTTGTTTCGTTTGAATTCATTCAGCTCTTCTTGCATTGCTTGCACCAAATCAGAATGATCAAGAGAAATTTGAACGTTTTTAGGTTTAATCTTGGAGATAAACAAATTGAGCATGCAATATTCTACCTTAGAGAATAAAGCGGTTCGCTTCACTTTTTGTTGTGCTGTCATAAGAATTCATGAACACGAATCTCCTATGACTTGAGTTTTTGGATGATCTTTGGTCCATTTATCCAATCGAGGGTAATTAGATCATATGTTGGATCCAATTCGGCATTTACTTCTTCAAACTCTAAATTTACATCTGAATCATCATTCTGATTTCCATTCCCCCGCTCGAATGATGGATGTATATTTTATTCTAGATTCGGATTCTCCCCCTAGAAAGGTGGTTCCAAGCTGACTTCAGGGGTCTCGTTCTCTCCTTGGATAAGTGTATTAGGTGTGGAGATTGAATTTTAGCCCTCCCTCTGCGTGGTAGCATTCACATCTGTAGGTTAAGATGGATTTTCAGGGTCTTTCGGAGTGGGATGCTCGTGTTCCATATCTTTCGCAGCATCATCAATGATTTTATTCAGTTCGTCTTCCTTGTTGTTTACTTCTTTGGACTCAGAGGAGATTGCCTTTCCTAGCTCATCAAAATGGTTCGTCGACTCCTCGTAGA